TCTAGGAATTATCTTTGGGGACATCCAAATCCTATGTACTTTAAATGCCCCTTAGGGATATAATTACTGTCCTGACAGCTTACTGTAAGCAAAGTGTCTGATCAAAAGAAAGGAAAAAGACTGTAATTGCCAGATGAGCTGGTGAAATCCCAGTTAACTAGCAGTATACATGTGAAAACTGAATGCATGGCTTCAAGTTCTTTGTTCCCTATTCCCCACCCCTGCCCATTTTTCTTCTTCATGAACATAGAATATTGTAGGTAAGGCCTGGTTGTGCTTAAGGGAAGCAAAAGACTGGTGGCATGGAGTTGAAACAGGAGCTATGGAGTGGTCTGCTGCCAGCTGTATAAGAAAACCAGATGAAAGACTTGGAGCGGGAAGAAAAGGATACAGATCTGCATGCAGGCAGGGTAAATATTTTAGGAAGATTTTTGTCTTTTGTTTTAAACCTGCAGCAAATGAAACTTACACTGTGGTTTTCAACATTTTGTCTTCTTGAGACAGAGCAGGCTGAGATGTCTGTGTTCACATTCTTATTTTGTTCAGCTACAACATTTTCATGGGATTGGAAACCTTTGAAGTGCTAGTGTTGTTTTGGATGTACATTTGTAAATGGCCTGTGACTTTGTGCGTTATTCTGTGCAAGCTTTGCAGAAGCAGTCTTTGCATTTGCTTTAACCCCTGGGATTACATGGCAGTCTGGCACCTGGATTCATGTCTCCTTGCTTACTTGTTTAATAGCTGTTCTTCAGTGCCCATATCAAAAACCATGTGTTGTTTCTACAGCCTGAGAACATAGAACTACTGGAGATACACCTATACGAGATTAAATTCTCACTGCCAAATGGGCTTTCTTCCAAAGAAGTCAGAACAGATATGCAAAAGAAGTTTTCTGCAGTGCAGAACATCAGTTGCCAATATTTTCAACATCTGAAACAGCAGCACCTGTTACTTGCCATTATGGCAACAAAGGCACAACAGTTCTCAGTTTGGTACTGTGCAATTCTGATGAAGAAATCCTTACTGCCTCTTGTGAAGGGTTGGAGCAAAGTTCATGGAGCTGCAAATTAATTCAAGGAAGTTACTCTTGTGCTTTCCCTCTCTCCCACTGAGATTTGTGGGTGGTTTGTTTTGTGTGTTTTGTTAATCTGCAAATGTCCAAATACTTTATTTTACTATGGAAAACAACATCATTACAGTTAAGTCTTGTTGCTCTCAAATATATTTTTAAGTCCACTTTAAAATTATTGATAAAACACTCAACTTGTTAATTTAGTGATGCTTTCTGCCAACCATGTGCTCTTCTTTGGCTCTGTTTTGCTATTTGATGCCAGGGTCATGCCATGAAAAGTGTTGTATCTGTCCACTTCTGGTTGATACTCTTCCATTCCTTCTATTTCCACGCTGACTTCTCAAGTCTTAACATATCCTTTGCAATGTACTGTAGGGATCCTGCTTTAGCAGGGGGCTGAACTAGATGATCTCCAGAGGTCCCTTCCAACCCTTACAGTTCTGTCAACTTGTGATTCTTTGCTTTGTTGCTTTTTCTTTCACAGCTCTCTTAATAACTGGAAGACAGGCAAGGTTCCATGAGAAGAGTTGAGTAGTGAACCAGTGCTGTTATTTCTGAGGGTGTAGAAAGTACTCTTTACCTTTTCAACTATTATGTTCCTAACACTGAAGAAATAATAGTGTTAATGAATCCAGACTGGTCCTTCTGGTAATACTGAGAATGTCTGAACTTACATTCAAGATAGACATGTTTTCTGATAGGTGAACAACAAGACAATCTTCTGTTGGTATTACTTCATACTGCTGTCTCCAGTGTTCCCTGGTAAAATACATATAGTATTTCCTGGAGTAACCAAGAGTTTATGATTGACCTTAGCCCAAAAGGGTTGACTTTGTTTTACCAATTGTCAAATTGAATTCTCACTCTTGATTCCTGGATGATTAGAGCAATGCTTGGAATGTGAAAGAAAACTTAATTTCTAATAATGTAAAGCAGAGTGCTCAGCTCCTAGGTGGATCTGAGAGGGGTCGTGTTAATCTGGCCTCCCTTCATGGAAAGGAGCTTTTTGGGCCATCTGGCCTGAAAGCTTGGTCGTCACTGATGGAAGGTGTGGTAATATTTCTTCTCTAAGTGGTATCTTCAGGAGGAAGTTGAGATCAGAAAAGAGATAAAAATGACCTTGGTGTTTAATGTCTTCGTACCACGTAAAGAAACACCAAGGGCTACAAATACTGACATACTGCTTTCTCTGATATTAGGCAGGAAAATGTGCAAATAAACAGAAACAATTATAGTACAATTAGCTTAATGCTTCTATGATAAGTTGCAAGAGCAAATTAGAAGGTGGGGGAAAAAAAGTCCAAACTCATAACATATATGCAGATTTACTTCCTGGCTAATGTTTCTCCATTTTTAATAGAAGTTTCAAAAAAGGAAGGATTTAAAAGTTGTACATTGAGACAAGAGTTCTGTTATGCAATAACATTTGTACTAACAGAAAAAGAGCAGCTGTTACTGGAAGTTACACTTCATTGTTGTGTTTTCCAGCACAAGGTTGTTTGGTGGGAACAGTGGGGGGGGGAGGGAAATGCAAGCAACTGCCAAAAAGAAAGCGTGTGAGGTGAAACTTGAATATGCTCTCATGAGAACTTTCTAAGATTCATAAGTAACTGAAAAAAGCATGCTGTATTTTAAGCTCTGGAGATGTACTGTATAGAGATAGAGCATAGCACTCACTGTTGGCTGGAAAAACAGAGGAGAACATAGAAAATCAGACTTGGGAAGGTAAGGCCATTGGGATGGGTGGAGGATGAAACGTCTGCTGCTGTTTCAAATTCTTTTGTGTCTTGTGGCTTCATGAGTAAATGTGAAGCTGCTTAATCATTCTCTCTCCTCCCACCCCCACAGAACAAGTTTCTATTTATTTGTATTTTTTAATTGAAAGAAGCAAACCACGTCCTTGTTAGGAATCTGTTAACAGTAGAAAAATATTTAAATTAGCTTTGGGCATTTTGTAAGCTTCGCAGGAGAAATTCTGATGTGATTTACACATGCCTTAAAAGCAAGTTCTTAAGTGGGACAGAAGTAAGGCCGCCACACCTAGGCTCTGGCTGCCGTTAGGCTGGTGGGAAAGCTGTGGCAGAAGGCATCCCCAGGCATGCTGCAGACAGGAGTGGGAGGAGGTCCAGAGGCAGGGGGCCTGGCCTTCTCATTGCTGCACGGGTAACTGCTGGCCCCAAAGTGGCCGTTACATATTTGTGAGCACTTCTGTGCTTTGGCACTGCCTCTCACCCACAAAATCTGCCACTGGGGGTCTGCGCTCTGGGAATGCAGCTTGTTAGTCAATGGGTTCTTGCAGCACAAGACTGTAAAACATTGCAGGTCATAACAGGCAGCTATTTCTTTCTTAATATGTCCTTGGGTGCTAGAGGGGAGGGCTGTTTTACTTTGTTTTGTTTTAATAAAAATATACTGAGATGCATTTATAGGGATTGACTGTATTTATTTTGAACAACAACACATTGATCCAAATCCACAGTCAAAACTACAAGAAAATAGTTTCTGCAATACTCTGAGCTTGATTCTCCAAATACCTATATTGCCTCCCATTGTGAATAATTGCACTAGCTTCTATGAAAAAGCATGCATTAGCCAACCTTCAACCCAGTGCTATTTGCGAGATCCCTCTCCAAATTATTTCAGTACTAAGTTTAGCTCTAGAGAATAAACATAGTGCCCCAAAAAGAACAAACAAAAACTGAAAATTGAGCAGTGCACTGAATTTTTTTCAACATTAATGTGAACAAGCCTGATCACTATTAACTCATTAACCAGGATAAATTACAGCTGGAAAATATTTCTTGTTGCCAACTCTATTACAATTCAGTAAGACTGCACCACTGAATATCAGTTAATATTAAAAAATTGCATAGTTTATGCAAGTTAGTATTTTTTGTTTTGCACAAAACTGATCTTGATATCTGCGGAAGCTTAGAGTATGAGATGATAATTCTTGTTCCCATTTAAGTATGAAGATACTCAGATCACAGCTCTGTAGGTAAGATTCTGATGAGTTTTGTTCCTGAAATAGCAATTAACTTGTAGTGTTAAAAATGAGAACTGTTACATCTGAGGTAGGTCTGATGTGGTACATAGGTACAATTCTGGCTTTTGTGATAACAGTGTGCATTGCAGTATTGGTACTAAGAGGATTTTTGAACTTAGTCTGTGATCAAGTTCACAAATGAGTTTCTTAAGCAAACAGAATTGACATCACCTAGTTGAGAGCCTATTTTAGATATTTCTGTGCTGTCATATCAGTGTCACCACTTACAACTTGCATGTTGTTAATTTTAGAAAAGTAGATGTAATTTATCTAGCAATTCATAGCAGAGGAATGGTGTAAGTAGGATAAACAAGATTTCATGCTGATTTACAGGCAGAACCTCTTCTAATCAGAAGGATTTTGAGAAAATTATGACAAGTCATATACCTTGATCAACAGACATGCAGCAAGTGTGGGTCGGTCACTCGGCACATGGTATAAACAAAATATCCCTTACGCATTTCTCACCTGTATTCCTTTTTCCCTGTTTTCTATGCCATACCAAAGGATGCAGTACTGTAAGATATATATAAAGCTTACTGCCTATGTCAAATTCTAGCAGAGTAAATAATAAAACCTGATTCTTACAATTTTGAATGAAAACCAGTGTAGGCAGTTTATTTGGGTAATTATCCGTTTGTCTATTTTTATTTTCCTTCACAGATGTTTAATATAAGCTGTTGGCATTAGTGGAAGAGCAAGTGTCTTTCAGCTCTGAGGGCAGCCCTCGGGCTGTTCCTACCTTTTGCATGCTCTGCTCAGACACAGATGGCCAGCAGTCAGCTAGACTGCTGCTGTCAGACACCACCAAGGAGCAAGGGAGTGCCCCCTGCAAGGAAGAAGTAAAGGTGGTTCTGTTTTCCACTTTTACGCAGCACCTGGCTTTATGTAGTGCAGTGTATACAGGACAGATGAACTTGCTTGTCTATGCTGTCAATGTAAGTTCTGCAGTTAAGAATAATTTCCACATTGTACTCTTCATTCTCCTGCATTTTGCCTTGTTTCAGATAAATAGAGGATTGACTCTCTGAAACTTCCCCTTTTGTTATTGTGGCTTTTCAAATAATCATCAATGTTTTGATGCATACAGCATCATATGACTTCAGAGTTATTGCAAGCAAAGCTTTGCTTGAGCTGCTAATTCTATAACTGTGCTGCAATTAATTTGGCATGGCATACCGGAGAGCAGAAAGACATACAGCGACACAGGCCTGGCCTGCCCAAATTCTGATGCTGATTCTGATCGCAGTGTTTTTTCCAAATCACCTCTGTGGATATCACACTGAAGTGCACAGGCTGTTACTGAGCATATGAAAGGTTCTTTTCTTCAGGAATGAAATGAGAAAATAGAGTGGAATTCTAGGGAGCAGACCTGCAGAAATCCAAAGGGAATAGAGCCCTAAAGTGGATGCATTGATCAGTACCCTGGAGCTTTGCCTTGAACATAGTTCAGGAGCATTACCATAGTGGATGTCTATCTATTCATGACCACCACCAACTTTGTGCATGTATATATGTACGCATGTGATTAGAAAGGAAGTTAGAATGTATTGGATACATTAAATTCACAACGATCAAGCAGAAATAACTTCATTTTTCAAAGGTTAAACTTGGCCATGATCGTGACATAAGGCAGCTAAGTATTTAGGAAGCAGTATATATCCAACCACTTCTGTTTAGCCAGACAGAACCCGTGCTTCACAATTCTGATGTTGAGCTGACCTTCCATGGGGAATTCAGATCCAGGAGTAGGTAAGAGATCAGTTTCTAATTGTGATTATTGCTACCAAAATAAAAATTTCTCCTGCTAAGCAGATGAAGTCCTCCCATGTAGATCAGCAGCAGCAGACCTCCTGAAAGCTTAGACAGACATAGGCCTCGTGCTAACCCCTGTGTAAGTATAAATCTCTACTGCTGGCCCATCTCCACAGGAGTGAAATTTATCCAGAAAGCATAGCAGGACAGGTTGAGATTAATATTCTAGGTTAAGTTTTCAATACTGAGTAACATAAAGGTCAAGTAAGCAGTAAAAATAACTGGATGTTATTTCCCCAAAAAACCCATGCAGAAGTACAGCTTTGTCTATTTGGTGTTGATCCCATAACAATTTTTCAGCTTTTGTGTTCATATTCTGAATTACTAAGCTGCTTCACTGATGAGCTGATTCTTCACTGTCCAACCAGTGGCTGCATAAAAATTTAGTAAGTTATTTAAAGCTACTCACTTGATGTTTAGGCAGTTCAGATCTTGCTTTTTTCTTTCCAAGCAAACCATTCTTAAGTAACAGCAATAAGAAGTGAGATGTGCTCTTAGATATTAATTCAGCACTGATCCAATTAACTACCTTTGCAAGCAGTTTCATAACAATCTCATCTATTTTCAGTTAATTAGGAAGCATGATTAAGATCTGTGTTGAATTAACAGAGCAGTGTATCATCTTACAATTTCAGGTAGGAGATAACTTGCTCTGAATACTGTACGAAAAGAACAACATTTCATGTCTCGCTTCAGTAACTTCATTCCCAAATTTGAATGTGGTCAGCCCTATGTTTCAAGGGCAGAGATCAGTTTTGAGCTTGTTTTCTATATAATTTTTTTTGGTTTTTTTTTTTTTTTTTTTGCTTTTTAGTGTGGATTTCTAATGGAGACATATGGGTTTCACAAAATGGTCCAAAGAATCATTTGCATTAAAAATTATACAACAAAAACAGAAAGAAAATTCTTAATTTCTCGTTACATGTTTGTCAGTTCGTATTTATCATATACGTCCTTTTCTTCTCCTTGCTGATTATCTGAGTGATGAATTTCAATAAAAACTATATAGGTAAGAGCTCCAAGTACTCCTCCCAGCATAGGTGCAACTACAGGGACCCACCACCAATTATTTCCAGCCCTGTAAGAAATAAACAAGAGTTATTGTTGCTTGTTACTCTAGTTGATGCCCTATCTTTTATTTGGCAGTGAAGAAATACAGTGGTATAGCACTCACTGTGCTGCATACATTTCCATTTTGTCTTATATGACTTTAAATAGATGACTGTTTGTCCTGCTCATACAGTGGTTGAAATGCTAAGTAATAACCACCAGGCACATGGGTTTAAGTACTGCATTTGCACCCTAAAAAACTAAGGCCTCTTTACTGCATATCTGTTTTGGGGGCAAGAGATGAATTCTTGCTGGTGGAAGATGGGTTTCATTGACTTGCAGTGAAATGAACTGGAACTTATTTATTGCACTGTGATCTTGAATGATGCTGTTGCCAGATGCTCATGAATGGTTTTTCAGGAGAGATTAATGCAAATACATATTGTAGAAATTGCATGGAGGTCTGCAAATTCAGATCTGCAACAGATATATGGTGTTCTTCTTGACAAGCATAATAGATTATGCTTGATTTGAATGTATTTTCCTTGAGGAGTGTAATAAAATACATAGACTGTGAAGTGGATTATACTTGACTAGAATGGTCAAGATTTAAATTTCATGATGTAATTTCTTCTTACTGTATTTAAAATGTGGGATCCTTCAGTAAGAGGTAAACAAGCATTCACAAGTTTGAAACACCTAAAAATTGATCTTCCTTAAAATTGCTGCGTTCACTTAAAGTCCTACAGAATTCCAGTGGATTCAATTAAGTGCTTATGTTCACACAACTACTAAGATTTAATTTTAGATGTGCAGATTTCTGTGCACCTTTTAAGGAAGAAGCCCATTAAAATTACAAAGCCAGTAAATAACAACCTCATTCTTCTATCCCCCAGTGCCTTGCGTAGCTGCTCTCCCTTTCCTGGAGGTTCACATTCAGGCAATACCATGCTGAGTACTTTTTGGGGCACAGACCTCTGAACCGTACTGGTGTGTGGGGGTGTTTTGATTCAATGGCACGTTGTATTGTTTCAATATATGAGCCTTCAGTGAAAACCCTCAGTAAAAAAACCCTCTCAGTAACAGGGAAGCAACTTCTTTTTTCCCCTCCAAGAAAAACAAAGGGGCAAGTTCATCTGCGAGAGGAGCTCTGCAGGAGCCTGCCAGGGGCATCCTTAAGCTGTACAGGTAATTATTCAGCACCAGCTGTATAGATTTATGCAGAAGTGAACTTGTGTTCAAGTCACAAGAACAGAACGGTGCTAATCTCACAATGCCCTAGTGATGACACTATTATTTCTTGCTCAAAAAAATGCAGTGCGTGCATGTTTACCTTTGGAATTACTTGAATTTTGCCCCGAGGATATAGAGTAACTTGTGTTTGCTCTGCTGAGTTTACAGATGGGATTGGTAATCGGTCGTGAACATTTAAGCCTCTGAATTTCTGGAACAAGCTCGGACTAAGGTCCACTGAATTAGCCAACAACACAGCCTACATCAGGTACCTGCGTGCATTCCTGTGCATGTGCCCATGTGGTGTGGGCATGTCAGGAAGATGTTTCCTGGCAGGTTTCTCTCTGGGCCCATCCTATGGCCTAAGGTGCCCTGCTGGCTCCTGCCTGACCCGCAGCTGTCCTGCACAGCAGCAGCCGCCGGCTGCTTCACGGCCCTCCGCTGAGGGTGGATGCAAAGCCTTTGCAGGGTGATGCCAAGGCTACAACGCAAGCAGGGCAGCACGGCGGAGCGAGGAGTTTCCACGAGCCTTCGTGACGAGCACAGACAGCTTCACAGCAGTAAACTGAGTTCCATCGTAACTCAGCGTGCAGCCTGGCTGCCGAGTCAGCGGCTCCGGCTTTGTCGCCAGGTGTTTTGCGGCGTGCGCTGAGCCATGCGGAGCCGCGGGGACCGCGGCCCGCTCCGGCCCCGCCTGCGCGCCCTGCACTGCGGGCGGGAGCAGCGGCTGCGGCGGCCGCGAGGTGTCAGCGTTCCCGCGCGCTGCTGCGGGCCCGGCACCTGCCGCGCTGTGCGGCGCTGGGATGCTGGGCTGGGTGGTGACTCCTCACCCTGTGAGGTGCTCCCACGTACCTAACAAAACCCGATTCTTCCTCGGTCCTACCTGCATTCGTACTGTAAGCCGTGTTCCTGTCACCCCCACGAGCTCTTTTATAGCAGTAGTGTTAGAAGTGAAGGCAGGGAGGAAGAATTCCTCGGTTTGGACTTCCCGCAGACTGCTGTATGTTCTGCACCCACCTGTGGTCTCTCGTATCTTTTTATGCTCCCATTTGTAAATTCTCTAGGATGGTCTCTTTACAATGGGGATGCATTTCCTCTCTATAAATTCTGAAAACACACGATGATGCAGACATAGAGATTTTGTGTTCCTGTTTAAAATGCCATTAATTGTTTGGTTGTGTGATGTTATTTTGGGGCGGTAAGGGGTTTCACAGCTATTCTGTGCATAGATCTCAGTACCATCAGGACTCCAAGCTTTCAGCAATGTGATAGCAAACTTAGTTAAAAGATTACAGATTCTAACACATAATGTTGTAGTTAATGTAATAGCAAGCAACTACAAGAGGCTTTAAGGAAGACAGTCCTTTGTTATGTTCTCCTCTCCAAGACACATGGTATGTGCAGACTGAAGCTAATAATGCAGATTACATTACTTTCTGAAGTAGCTAAAACAAAATCTCTGTTCACTGGAGCTCTGTAGCACTCTATGGTACTTCAGAGGATTCAGAGTTGTAAATAACTGGGGGAAAAAAACCATATAAAAATAAACCAGAAGATCCAAATCCTGATGACAGAGTACTTTCACTTAGATATCCCAGAGTGGCTTTTACGCTGAATATGTGTAAACTGTGGATTTGATGTGCAACTAATTAGCTCTGCATCTGGCCAGCCAAGAGTGCGTGCGTGTGCACACACATGCACAGGGATTTGTGAGTGTGCTCTGAAATGTGGGAAAATGAAGGGAGCTTTCTTACTTTCACTCCTTTGCTCCTAGGCAGGAAGTCAGGCTTTTAGATTGTTGTATATTTCTGCAGTAACTCACTAGTAATAACAGACTAATTCAATCTGTATGTCTGTTTTTTACAACACCCAATATATATACCCACCTAAATCTCTCATGATTTCCATTTTTCACTGAAAGCTGCAGTGCAACAGAAGTAAAACTTTTTTTAAAATATTTTCAGTGACCTCTAGGAATCTCCAGTATTTTGGGAAGGGCCTGCTTGGAACAATGATTGATATTAGAGATAATGTGTGTTTGATTTGCCCTAGGAGCAGGAAATACTTTTTAAAGCCCAGTACGTTGAGCATGCCTGACAAAGTGCATGAGTAGCTTCTGGTATGCGAAGAATTACCTATATGTATATAAAGTATGACTTGGTACCATGTTGGATCAGGATCTTTGTTTCATAGGAAGCAATTTTAGCCAAAAGCATTTCACTTCATATCCAGGCTTACTTACGTGAATACTTCCATTCCCCATCCTGCAATAGCTGTGAAGAGCCTGGGGCCGAGGTCCCTGGCTGGATTCATGGCACAGCCACTGTTCATTCCCAAAGAGCAAGTAAGAACAATTACAAGCAGTCCTACTACAACTGGCTCCAGGCCCTTTGGTACTCCGGTATTTCTGGTGTCAAAAATAGCAAATATAACCAGAAGAAGAACAGCTGTTGACATCACCTGGCCAATGAAAAGAACATTGAATAAATACATGCAGGTTCCTTCTAATAATGGAAAGGGGGCCCACAACATCTCTGTGTCTTGTGGTGGCTTAAAGCTGGTATTGAGATTTATCCCACTGTACAGAGTAGTAAAATTTGGATCCCAATGCTTCTCTAGTTCGCAGTAATGAGAAGTTTAGATATCTGTGCTGAAAGGACAGGATGAGAAGTGTGTGGAGGACTTAGCAAAAAATCTGCAACAACCTGGTGTGGAAAGAAAAGAGGATTTAAAAGGTATTTCCTGTCTGAGGTCTGATGCTTTGCTTCCATTTTTTTCCATTCAATTTAACAGTTCCATTTATTTAATTTTTTAAGCAAATTTTGCAGCTCTGCTATGCCAATACAATCACTTAAATTGATATCAAAGTGTTTTATGTGATAGTAGCTTAGTCTGATATTTTATCAGACTAAATATTCACCTTTTTTATGTTGCATAACATAAGGAAAAAAGTGACGTCTACAACATGAAAACTGAGCAGCTAAAAACATATCTGAATTAAGACTGCATGTATAACAGCACAACTGTATGTATAAATGTAATGTGACCTCAGTATTGCATATACTAATTGAGTTAGTGGAAAAAAAAATCTTGGAATGATTTTCTCATGAAAGTGCTGCTCTGCTTAAATGCTACAGAAATGCTGATTTTGCTAATAATTAACTTCGGGGGGGGGGGGGGGGGAAAACAACAAACTTTCAGTATAATCAAAGCATTCATTTTTAAAGTTGATTTTAAAGAGGCTGCAAGTTTGGGTTTTCTTGAAATGATTTCTGCTTTGTCTGGCTTGATTTTTTTAGAATATCCATTAGAAAAAGATCTTATTAAAAGAAAAATCTGTTGATTGATCCAAAACAAAGTTCAGAAGTTGTCACAGAATTTCAAAACAAGGTGGTTTTTTTTTTTTTTTTTTTTTTTTTTTTTTTTTTTGCATGTTGGGTTTATAAATAAATATATATGTGTAAGCCAGGTTGTGCAGTCATCATGCCCTTCACATAAGGAATTCACAGTATTTGTTTTCTGTGCGCCTGCAGAAGGCAGGTAAATTGATAGGAGTAGTTAGGAGATATGAAGCTTCATTTTTCACTCTTGGGTAAGTAGGATTAAAGGATACAGATTGGGAGTGAAAAGGAGAATTTTTTGTATTCTCTCAGTTCCTCTGAAAAATAACAAAGCAAAGGGAAGGTTGCAGAAGAGGCTTATGGTAGCAGAAACCACAGTTGCTCAAGGTGTTAGAGTGGCTGTTCAAGCATTTCCTAATGCTTAATGAACTAGATTTTGATGCAGATGGATACAGTGCAGCTGAAGTTTAAGGAGAAACACTGTTTTATGCTGGGGAAAGCCTCTTACATGTATCACATTAAAGACACATAATTAATCTGATAGACGTGGAAAGAACAACTTGAAACTATCGTGCTTATAAAATATGACTAAAATGTTACCCCCACAAACATCACTGTATTCTCATTGCTATTGTATGCGGTGATGTATAACTAAAACGATGAGAATCATCGTACCTGTTAAAGATCTACGTATTCTTTTCATTGTCTGGTTTTAGAATTTTCAGTATGTTTAATTTGTAGAATCAAAACATGTGCACTTACCTGATCTGCAAATCCATTTATGAGGGATAGATATGGAGCTGGGTATGTTGCAAAGATATGTGCTGTTGCATAAGGTCCTGTGACTTCAAGTGTTCCGTTGCTATACTCCATAAAGGCATCTATAGAAAACAGCTATGACTGGTTGCACTTATCCATAATATTGATTTTCGAGGACTGCAGTATATATGATAAGCATGTGCACTTCATATTCTCAACTGAAAATTATTTTATCTGGGAGCGTTTGAAATGGTATGCTTATTCACACTCTCCTGTCCCTTCTCTCCTTCCATGCACTGAGGTGCTTGTTTTATGTTTCACAACTTTCAAATGGGACTTTTCCCCTCCTGCACATTGCCCTGAAATCAGTGCAAGAGGGCACTTTCTGATTTGCATTATTCTGCACGAGGTGCTGCATTTGGCACGATGCCCTAAGAAATGCATCGCATCTTGACTATTTTGTTGTAAAATTTCTCAATTCCCAGCCACCTGGAATTGGCATTGATCTGTTTGACCGTTGTGCGATGATCTGTTCTGAGAATGAGCTCTCCTAAGTGCCCTCCTCTTCTAATGGAGTTTGAAGTTTTCAGTCCGCGTGAGTTTAACATGCAACTCCTATGCTTGTTGAAGATGGGAAGAAAGAGTCCGAGCACAAAACCTGAGTTCTCAGTATATTTAGGTCTTTGTATTTTTATATACACATGGATTTTTGCATATTGTAAATCCACATGTATTTGTTAGTACATTTGAAGTGTATCTTAAATGGTATAATATGGCTTCTGCTTCAGAATGATTTTCTAGCAAGCCCTGAAGTTCCCATACTCTTAACGCTAACCTTAAAAACAACCAAACAAAACAGAACATATCAAGCCTGAAATAGTCACCACTATCCCTAAAGTTGTTTTTTTTTCTCTCCTGATTACTACAGGTACTGAGTACCTAACTGACTAACAGTAGGCACTTCCCTAATTTCAGTTTTTTAATTTTTTAATTTTGTGGGAATTTTGGAGTAGGTGCTTGAAGGAATTGATCTGAGTGGATTCATCAAGACAGTGACACCCATGTATATAAGTCAGAGATTTACCAAGATGGCACACTGTAAAATAGAAACATGCCCCAAGGATGGGTGTAATCCCATCCCCCTAACATCACCCCTTTATCACTTTACCTTGGGGAGTTCTGTCTAGGGTGGCCTGCAATTTGGTCAGGAGTGACTTGAGCTCATATCCTATGACCTCAACGAATGACATTGGCGATACTTGCCTGCAGGCACTTGGATCAGGTCTTTAATGTTTCTAATTTGCTTGTAAGATGAATAGCCTTATATCCTGACTATTAAGTAATTTAAAATCCTTACTGAGAAAGACATTATCTCAGAGTATCTGATTTCCCATGAATAATTTTTCTGAATTTCAGAACATTTCCTGGAGAATTAGTGTTTCAGAAAAGTTGTAAGATATCTGGAACAATTGAGTCCTTTTTTTTTCCTTCAAACTCCCTGTGCTTCTTCCTTTCTTCTTTACAGCCACAGCTTCAGTCCTGCCATTAGTTCTGTGTTGAGTCCTCAGCCTGCCTCGTGTTTATTGAAAAACTGGGGCCTTAGAGACTGCCTGACCTCTAGTTTGTCCCATGACCACATATAAGGTGTACTCACCGTGATAAATCCCAAAGACAGCCGCTGCTCCTACAAATGCTCCCAGGAGTTGTGCTAATATGTAAATTGGCAATTTGGTCCATTTTAATCTTCCAGCCACACACATGGCTAATGAAACAGCAGGGTTTATGTGACCACCTGAAAAATAAATCACAAAATAAGCCATATGAATGACTCAGATACATGGGAATACATAAAGGATTTACAAAAATTATGGGCACTTTTGAGCACGAGACTACATACATAGTTTCCTAGAGGTTACTTTGCAACTAAATGCTGATTGCAATTAAAATGAAACAAATTGGATTAAATTATGGGGAAGGAGAGCGAGCCAGTGTCCACCAAGCTCCATCACGTGCTTCCCTATTGATGTTCACAGACCACGCTGTGTATCAGAGTGCTGTCCTGCTTATGTGAGCTGTGAATCCAAGGATAACTTATCAGGAAAAGCCTGAATCTTCCCTTTTGGTTGTGATGAGAAGGCGTGTTATTCTGCAGGTACTCTTGTTTCTCAAGGTCTTTTTAATTCATTTTTAAGGGCGGTCTGGGACAACAAAACATTCGTTCAATTTAGTGAGCCTGTATTGAGGTGAAGAACCATCACTGACTGATTGTATCCTGGATTTTGAGCTAGATCTTCACTACACACAAGGGAAATGGATTTAAATTGTGTTTATGTCTTCCTCTCCAACTTGGAGTGAGCTCATGAACATACTGTCAAGTCTGCTTGGCTTCAGGCTAGCTGCTGGTTTGTTATGTTTTGGTGGGTTTGGAGGCAACAGCATGTAGTCTTTCAGAACAAATTTTCCTCAACAGCTTATATCTTGCAGGAAAGTCCACAGTAAGGGAACTGGTAAGGAAGCTGCACCAAATTCCTGTGGAATTTCCTTCCTTCATTTTCAGGAGTAGTTGTGCCTGAACTCACACATACAAGAGACTTCAGCAGCACTGGGAGTCTTGGTGACACTTTTAATTTCCAAAATGCATTAATTTTTATACCAAGTGCTAGCCACTTCTCTAAGTGTTTTTATCAACATGGAAAAGAAGTGTTGCATGCCTTTGGGAACATCATTTTTCACAAATAAGTCATTGACACTTAAGAAATGCAGCTTTCTTGCCAAATAAATATAGGCGTATTCCACAGGAAATAAACTAAAAACCCAAGTATTGTGAGGGCATAGCAGATTCAGTGCTTACCTTCAAGGCAAAGTCATGTTTCAGCCCATACTGCTGCCAGAAAAAAATGGCCTTTCTCTTTAATAAAATAACTAAAAGAGGGCGACCTTTGTCTGTCATGGGGTAGTGATGGAGAAAGAGCCTCTATGTACAGTTTCTGTGTTTGCTTGCACTTCAGGTCACTGGTCATTATCTTATGAAATCCAGGCACCTTTGTTACATAAAGAACTGACGAACACAGATAATAAGTTGGATAAAACCTTCTTTGTATCATTTCCAAAGCTCTGACCCAGTAGCATCAGTCTTGAATTAATTTTAAATTCCTCCCTGCACTTCAAATTCTTCAGAGCAGAGCAAATAGATGGACAGCACCTTATTTAACAGCCCTTCATGTGAATTTTGAGAAATTGTTGTCTTGTCTTTTGTTCTTTGCTCTGGCTGGAATGGATCATTTTCCTTTCTTTCACCACTTGATACTGTTCTCCGCCTGTATATAATACAGGGTGGCTGCAATGGGAAGGACAAGTCATATTCATGTTAGAAATATCTGATTAACATTAAGTTTGGGAAGGAAAACTCAAACTGGAGGCTCTCACGCTTACAAAGGGGAGTTAGAAGATTCTTGGCTCTTGTATCACTCGCACTTTGCTGATTAAAAAAAAAAAGAGTAAATAAAAATCTGCTTTGGAAATTTTTTCCAGTTTAAGCGATCACAATCCTGAGTTTGTCTGAAATGTTAAGTTTGTAAAAATGATGAGAAATAAACTATATGTTGAGGAAATTGAGACAGAGAAAGAGAAGAAGGGGGAATTCACCTAGGTAAAAGAGCTCAAATTCACCAAGTGTGCAGACGTTGTATCTTATGTTCCTGTGTGGGTAGAATTTCATGAAATTAATGCAAAATATTTTAGCAGTACTTAAAGATAAGGCTTTATGGCTGAAAATCCATAGAATTTGCTAACAAGAATATATGGCAACTGATATTCTAGAACGTCTGCCAGTAATCAGATGTTGGATTGTCACAGCCTGCTGAAGTACCTGTTCCTGTTCTTTCACAGAGAAAATGCATTGCATGCAGAATCCTTTGTCATGGGAAAAACCTCAAGAAGCACAATATTGCAACCTCTGCAGCCACTCTGACCTGCTGGAATTGAACTCTAATCTTCTGCACGATAGAAACGAGTACCTCTAGCGACGCATATGCAGGAAAGGTCAGTGTCCTTATAGGTTATTGCCATAATACTGCATTAGAAGATTTTACCTGCCTACATATAAACCAAGAGCTGCAGCTTTTTGATAGGAACATACAGCTGAATTAACTTTGCATGGTATCAATGTATCATTCTTCTTAAGTTTCAATGACTGTAACAAGGCTACATGTTTTGCACTAGCTCAAGCGCTTTCTCATAGGAATCTAGAAACCTCCTCAAACATGCTGTCTTTGTAAAACAAATTGTAATCCTTGTAAAGAGAAGAGAAATTACTGTAGCGATTTTGGCTGTAGCTATTTGTTACGATCCCTTATACCTAGACATAGGTGCCCTCTTCATGATTGTTAAGAAGTTCTTTCGTAAGAGCTGCAGTACAAGAGATTCATTTGCTGTAAGAGGATAATATAAACTCCATGTATAGCACAGAGTATTCCATGCTGTAACACACAAAACTGTGTATTTATGGCAACCCATAAGCTTCTGTTTTACAGGGAGGATTAAAACGTTAAAGCATTTGTACTAGTGTCCCTGATATTAGTTTGGCCAGACTGAATGGTGGAGATTGCTGTCACTAGAAAATGGAGCATACACAGACACAGATGAGTAAGCCCATCTACAGGAAAAAAAAGAGTCCTAACCAATTTATATTAGATTAGGAATGTTCAAGCAGAAACGAAGAGACAATGATAGTATACTGCCAGTGTATCACAGAGCATATCTCAAGTACTGAATCATTTTGCTGGTCTTTCTTTCTGTAATCTGTTGTTTATGATGGTAGTTGGTTGTTGTTGTTTTACAGACAAAGTAAGTTTCTTTTAAAATTTGGGGCAAGGAAAAGGCTTGCTGCTTATCATAGGACATGGAGGGATGAACTGCTCTCTGTAAAGTGAACCCTGCTGCTTGTCCTCATTTGTGAGTCATTCCACCTTCTACCCAGCTGGCAGCCATCTTAGGTGGTGTTTGCTGGGTTCTGTAATCTTTTCCTGGTTGTTTCCTTAAATACAGCTCCTGTGCTGTCTGGTATTTATTGTGTTGACAGAATTTTCAAAGCAACACCAAGTAGATTTCTGGTTTGCACGCACCAATTATCCTAAAAGCCAGGGATTTACACATTGTAGTAGAGGCCAGAATTTATTTTAGATACTAATCATCAAACAGCAAAACAGAAGGGAGCAAATATAAAATAATTACTAGCAAAATTCTGCAGATTCTGCTGTAGTGCAGTGGTTGTTACCATTAGATGCATCTTTGTTTATACCATGAAATGCAAATGATTTAATAAGCTAACTTAAAAATTGCAGTAATAAATACTGTATCAGAGGGCAGAGGCTACTTACCAGAAACTCCACCAGACACATACACTGCGATGGTGACTGCCATTGCAAATCCAACTGATACTGTCATGGTCCCACCATGGGCTCCTCGGCTGAGGACAGCCTGCCCCACACATCCACATCCAAGTGCCTGTATTTTTAAAGAGAAATGTGAAATCTTAAGCATAACTATCAAATGTTATTGGTTAGTCTGCTGATGTCCAGGTATAGATGAAAATGTTGTCTAAGCATTGGAAAAATTACTAGAATTTGAGATTAGTGGCATGTGTGTATGTTGTCTTTGCTGCAACTAGTATTTGCTCTTTATTTTCCTCTGTTTTGTGACTAGGAAGAACGACTGCTAATAAGAGCCTCTCTCCAGAAAACACATTTCAACTGTAATGGTGTTACACAACTCTGAATTTCAAGCCTAAACAAGATTTCTCAGACTCTACAAGAAGTCTCTGAATGGAAGAAGGAGTTATTTCTGTGGTATGTTTCGAATTTCAGATTGTAGCTGTAAGCTATGAAAAAGTTACTATGAAAGTCATTAAAAATAGTTCAAAAACTTCTAATGTTTAATAATGAAACTCTGGAATGAGACAGCTCTCTGGAGTTTAGAGTATGTGTTACTATCATACTGTCTTGATGTCAAATATTGCTCTGTCAAAATATGAACTGGTAGAACTTACTTAAAAAGAATAGAAATTCAGAAGAAACTTGGAACAGGTAAGATGACTGAGACAATCAAGAAACATTTAGATGTTGCACTAAGGGACATGGTTTATTGCAGAAATATTGGTGGTAGGTCAACAACTAGACTGGATGATCTTGGAAGTCTTTTCCAACCTTGGTGATTCTATAAGAATCAAGATTTTGGACAAGAAACAGGAAAAACTAAGAGCTATTAGGGACCAAGGCAAAGGCATGTTAGGGCAAATACCTGTGAAATCAGGCAAATAAAATTTGTAGCATCATAATTCACACAGGCCTAAAAGTAAGAGATTACTTAAAGTCCCGAGATATAATTTTCGCTTTATTTGCTGTAAATGCTGCAGATGCTGAGTGCAGGATATGTTCTAGGGAAGAGCAGAGGAGCTATGGCTGTGAAGCACAGATGAAGGTCCAGCTCTGATGAAATTGATGCTGTTCTAGCTTACATGGCAGTGAAAAAGCTTTGGGGTATTTCGCTGGCTCTGCCACTTGAACAGTTAACTCATGGGGATACCTGAATAGTCCTCACTGGAGCATTCTCAACAGATTTAAACTAACTGACATTTTACACTGGTTCTTTTTAGATTGAAGTTCAGCGAAACATTTAAATGTATACTTAAAATAATCTTTACTCAATTTTCTTTAAACACTGCTTAGCTTCAAGCACGTGTTCTATTGAAGTCAGTGGGAAAGATTTGCAAAGGTACAAAAGGCCTTTAGGTTAAGGTAAAGTAGCTGGTCCGTGTTTCTCAGAAATAAATTTGTCTCTTTGAAAAATCTCCTTTTTAAATATATGGCTATGTAATTTGCTGCATAAATACCCAGCAGCCAATGGAAGATACCACATAATATCTGTGGTCTGAAATCTTCTGCTTCTGTGCACGTATAACCAAACTAATAACATTTCTGGGTTGTGACTAGATTTATCTTAAGCAACCTTAATTTCTTCAATATTTAATTTGATATTTATATTTCTCTTTTTGTGGTGCATGGTAATCTGATCTTTTACTTGATATAAAAGTATTGCATCTTAACCAGTGCAGTTGCTTGGTTAATCTTCTTGCTTCACCTTAGTGTTTTCCCATTACTGCATGTGACCCATGACTGTGTTGCAAGGCCGTATGTGAGCACCTAAAATTTAGTTCTTTGAGAAAGTCTTGCTACAGTCACAAGGCACTTCCATTTGGAAACTTGTAATGGGAAATAAAGGAATGGGAAAAATCTCTCCTGACTGTATCAATAAGATTTAGTGATTGAGGTTTAACAAGCAAGTCCTGCTAAAATAGATGCAATTTAAACAGGAAAACTCATACTTTTGTTTCCATTATTTCCCTGGGGGTTTTAACTAATTCCGAAATGTGATAGAAAAAGCTCTCAGTAAAATTACTCTCTCAACCAGCTTTGCAATGCAGACAGGGTTTGTTATAAAAGTGCCCCAAGATTGTGTCATGTGCCCAGGTGCAGTTCGTGCCTTGAGGTTATAATCATGCAAGCAAACAAAGCACTGAGCGGTGCCAAAGTATTACAGCTGTCAGGATATGTGAGGGTAGGGTGGTATTAGATAGTAGTTTATTGGACTGCATAATTGAGAGTTACAAGACATTCTAAGCTGCAGTTAACTGCTGTGCAGTGGATTGCACATGGCTATGTTATGCATTCTCTCATTTCTATAAGTATTGTGTACTTCACAATTCAAATGTTAAACACAAATGCATATATAGGGATAAAAACAAAATGTAAAACATTTCAGTTGTTCACAGTTGAAACTGCATGTTTTTTTAAAACTTTGTATGAAACAATTCCACACATTATATATTTATAGGTTGAATGGGTATGGAAATAATGGATATACTGGAATTTAGACAGTTTAAGATTAGGGTACAGGGAGAGAGGAATTAGAATTAGCACGCTCTAGCTTTCATTTTCCAAGCTTCTCAATGGGAGTATTCCATGAAAACAGTATCTCTTGCTGTAATGACTACGAAAAAAGAGGAGTATGGAAGATGGATATAGAAAAGGGTAGTGGACATTAATCATATCTATGTATATGAACTACAAATGCATGTGAAGAGGGAAGGAAATAATGGCATGGCTTTTGTTTCCCTTCCCTAATTACCACAACTGAAGAGGATCATGCAGAAACAGCTGTGTAGTCTTATTGCGTAACAAATACTGCCCTGCACTTTATAGGGAAATACGCAACTGCACATGCTCTATTTTTGTGCTATCCAGTCTCAGAAAATGGAATCTGCAAACAACAAGGCATACAAGCCAACCTGTATACAGCTGCACTGGTTTCTTGCTCAGTGTATGTTGGTAAATGACTTCCTGCTCATGTCTGACGAATGAGCACTATTGCAGGCACAGTCAGCATGTGCCCATTTGGGGATGAGAAAACTGGGAACTGAACCTGCAAATCTGAACCAAGTCACAGCAGTACTTTATCTGTTGTCATTATAAGGACGAGAGAAGAAAAACATTCCTCCTGCAACCAGGTTGACATAACTGGACTATCACCTAATCATGTAATTACATGAGCAGCAATTTAATACCCTGTGAATCTCTGCTTGGCTGAGTTAAGACCAACTAGATCATCAAGTTACCAGTAAATATTCTGAGTTTCTAGGCCAAGCTTAGCCATAAATGCACCACAAAAATCCATCAACTGAAGCACATAGATTCAAAGGGAGTTTAATTTAGAGTAGGATACAGTCTGTTATCTTTGTTTTACCTTGTCTGTGTTACCAGGTTTCATCTTTCCAGTAATCTGTTTCCTGATCTTAAATTTACTGAAGTAGTTTCAGTTCTGATTTTTTATTATCACAAAGCAGTGAGATTACTGCCATAAGAAGCATGTCTGGGTGTGAAATAGCTGTCTGCACGCTCTCTGCCAAAAAAAAGTTGCTTCATGGACATTAGATCTTTGTCTTGGGTAAGAAGCTAATGTTAGGAAAGGGAAACAACTGGCCTCTTGTGAGTATAATGTCCTGTTATTCTCTGGCAGCTTGGAGAACTTTATCCCGCTCAGCAGCGTGAAGATCACTATGCCTCCATCTGTGTTATCTGCAGGATTTTTGCTAATGTGTGTAACAGCATTTTTCAGTGTAAATAGTATTTCCTGCCATATATGTATCTAGAATTTTAGAGAATTACATTTTCTACACTGTAAAGCCTTAAACATCTTAAAGCACAATGCTTATATTAAAAAGATCCCTTCTTATTTAACAGATCTAGTGGTAGTGTGTATTCATAGCAAAATACTCTTAGTGTATCAGTATAGAGGCAGCCAAGACTCCTGCTTTTTATCACTGTGGAGAACAATGATGTGTGTGTTTTATCTTGTACTTCACCAGCTGCCAAGCTGGGGGGAGTTACACTCCTTCAGTGGGATACCACAGATGTCTGTGCAGGCAGAGCAGGGCCTCGGTGGCACCACAGCTGATGATGCTCTAATAGAACACAAGAATTCAGTGTGATACAGGGAATCCAGAGTCATTAATTTTTTTAGATCGTATTTTAATTATTAGCTGTGCATTTTCAATAGAGAAATATTAGAGAACAATTTCAGAATTTATGTTTTGGTCAGTTTTCAAGAAGGAGTCGTACTTAAACAGCTCTAGCTGATTATGAAGAATCTCCAAGGATCCCTCCACCACTTCACAGTGTTCTGTAAGGATGCCTTTGTTCAGGGAAGGGAGTAACCCTGCCCTTTCCCACGCCACACTCCCACCTATGTTCTCCCACTGTTCCCCAGTCAGGCATTTCCTGCTAGTCAGCAGCTTGGCTGCTCCCCTTTTCCAGCCCAGATAAGAGGGCGTCAGGCTGGATCCTGTCACACGGGCTGTGCAGCTGCACAGTGCTGCAAAGGGGACAGGCACTCAGGTGCCATGCAGTGTGTTGGGCTAAAGCTGTGTGCTTGCTGTGAGCATCCTTCTGTTATCCCAAAGTTACCTGTTCTGAGCGATATTGTGGGGACACTTGAGGACATGAGAGCAAGCTCTGGCATTTCATCTCTAAAGGAAAACTTCTCTGGCTTGTCTATGCAACCAGTGCTACATCCCTTGCAGCAGGGACATGGGAGTGGGCTTAGAGAAGTGGTTGCATTTGTCCTTTGCTACAGGTAGTGATCTTTCTGCCATGAGAACATTAAAGGATTGTTTGTGCTTTTTTTGTAGCCTTATGCAGCTTTTTCCTCCAGTTAATATTTCTATAGGTGATCAATTTGGGTGTTGCATATGAAACTAGTGCATAAAATTTTCAGCTAGAAGTGTGATTACTAAAGTGATGGTGTTCTCCTTAAGGTCTCTAATGTGGAGCGTATTCTAGAATGTACTTTCATTTCCAGTGTCTTTCTTCACAAATGGATTCCACTTTAGAATTTATCTGTTTTCAGAAAAATTCATTTCATAATGTGATTTATAATGGATTAGGAAATCT